CTGGTTTTCCTCCTACTTCTTCTCAGCCTCTGTGGCTAATTTTTCCATACCTTTTTGAACTCTTAATGTTAGTATACCATAGAGAACCCTTTTCTGTCTGCACTGACTGTATAGCTGACCTCATCCAGACTCAGCTTTTAAGTACTGTCTGCAAACTCGTGATTTCCAAATTTACTTTTCTGGCCCAGGCCTTTCTCTGAGTTCTAACCTCATATATCTACCTCCTAATCGTACCTTCGTCTGGATGTTTAATACATATCTCATAATTAGCATGTTCTAAACTAAGTTCTCTATCTTCCCCCACCAGACTTGCTTTTCCTGTAGTCGACCCCATGTTAATGGCAGTTCTGTTCTCCTAGTGCTCAGTCAAAACTCATGATTCCTCTGTTTTTCTTATACACATCTAAAATGTCAGAGAATTAGATCAGCTGTATCCAAGAGCACCTTCAGTATCTATCCAAGATCCTGCTATATCTCACCACTTCCCCTGCTACCATTTTCCCAGCCACCCTTTTCTCTCATCTGGATTATTGCCATAACCTTCTAGTTAGCTGCTGCTTCCTCTGCTGTCTGGAAGTTTACTTTTCATAGACCAAATGATTCTGTTAAAATATAAATCAGATCATATTTCTCCTCTGCTCAAAACTCTCTTGATAGCTTCTAATATAAGAATAAAAAATAAAGTCCTTATAATGGCCTGCAACATTCTATAGCAGTACTTCTCAATCTATCTGCAGTTGTTTTGTTTTTGTTTTTTTAAATAGCAGTATTGTTTTCTTTTTGTAAAGTATAATAAAAATGAGTTTCTAAAGAGAGAACTTTCAGTTCAAGTCATGATGGAGTAACTGATATCAGACTAGCCCTCCCACTATAAACTATTAGAAAACTGGTCCCAATATGTAAAAGAACTGTTTTCAGAAATGTAACAATAAATAGTACAGGACTGATCCCTGAGGGAAAGGAAACAAACTGGTGAGCCCTAAGATTGCCCAGACTTTTTGCCTGGAGGCATCTGGCAAACTCCAGTGCAGGAGCCAAGCAGAGCAAGGCAGTCTTGCTGAGATAAGGAGACAGAAATTGGAATTTAATGGAGGCTGGAATTAGCAGAGCAGAGTACAGTAGAGGAAGAACCTATGCAAAGGAAAAAAAAAAAAAACTAAACCTGTTGCTGTTGAGTGAATTCCAACTCATAGCGACCCTATAGGACAGAGTAGAACTGCCCCATAGGGTTTCCAAGGAGTGACTGGTAGATTTGAACTGCTGACCTTTTGGTTAGCAGCCTGAGCTCTTAACCACTGCACCACCAAGGCTTCATGCAAAGAAAGAGCACCATAAATCTGCATAGAGATCCCTTGAGTCTTTGGCTGAAAACTATGCTGTACTTGCAAAGAATGAGATTTGACAAAACCAGGCAAATAACAGCTGCCTCACCAGGAACAACCACTGGAGAGCTGAAAATAGAACAACTACCTCAGCTCATGCAGTGTTGGAAGATATTCAGATTTCAACCAGCCAGAGTAGAGAGACATCACTGAATACTTGGGGCATTCAGCAAAGAACCCAGAAAGACCACACCTTAGGAGCTAGGTGAAAATAGCCCTAGGTCTGTGCAAATGAAGCTTAAACACAGGCCTCAAAAAGATCAAGCTGATCTACAAGTAAATTAACTGACCGTTAGACTCTTTAGAGGAACACAACAAAATCCAGACACTCAACAATATAATATCTGCAGTGTTCATCATCCAATAAAACTAGAAGATATAGGAAAAGCAGGAAAGTATGACCTGTAACCAGGAGAAAAACTAGTCAATAGATATAGATCCAGGAATGACGGGCTTAGTCATTAGTAGACACAGATTTAAACTGGCCATGATAAATATCAAGAATATAAAGGAAAATATGAATATAATGAGGAAATGAATGGAAGATATAAAAAAGAACCAAATGAAATGTAATTAGAACTTTCTGCATACATATTCTACTTTGGTAAAAAATTTTAAATACAAAAAGGAACTTCTAGAGTTGAATGGGATAATATCTGAAATGAAAAATTCAATGGATGTGCTTAACAGTAGATCAGAAATTGCAGAAGAAAAGCTCACTAAGCTTAAAGACATTGCAATACAAACTATCCAAAATGAAGCACAGAGAGAAAAATGGCTGAAAATTTAACAGAGCCTCAGTGACTTGTAGGACAGTCAAGCAGTCTAACAGAAGGAGGAGAGAAAAAAGATATTTAGAAAATAATTTTTCCAAATTTTGAAATAAATTTTTTTATAAATTGGATGAAAACTATAAACCCACAGATACAATAAGTTCAGCAAATTCTAAGCACAAAGAAAATCACACCAAGGTATATCATAATCAAATTGCTGACAGCCAATGGTAAAGAGAAAATATTAAAAGGAGCTAGAGGGGAAAAAAATTACATACAAGAGAACAAAGATAAAGGTTACCAATGACTTCTCATCAAATAAAGCAAGCCAGAAGAAGATAAAATGACATCTTGAACGTTCAGAAAGAACTTATTTCTTTCTAAACTATACAAATTTCCTAGTTTATCTACTGAAAAGGCCTAGAAGCAGTGACCACTGAGGAACAGTGAGCACCTTGTGTCCTGATTGTGGTCTCTAAATACTATTTCTTAGTAAATGGAAGCAGGAATGCTTGGAAGAATGGTGGTTCCAGGTCTAGGGCAGGATATATACAACATGATCCCAGGATATCTTACTGTACTAGAAAGCAAGAAAGTTAACAAGGTTTAATGGTCATGTTGGAGCCCTGGTGGCTCAGTAGTTAAATGATACAGCTACCAACCAAAAGGTCGGCAGTTCAGATCCACCAGCTGCTCCTTGGAAACTCTTAGGGGCAGTTCTACTCTACCCTGTAGGGTTGCTGTGAGTCGAAATCAACTCAACGACAACAGGTTTTTTTTTTTTTTTTAATGATCATGTCAAGAGAACACAGAAGCCTATTTATAAGGGCTCCTCTAGGTTAAAGATAGGGCAATTTAAGCATCAAAAAAATAATGATTGCAATGGATTGAAGCATATTGGATACATAAATATCTATGAGTTCATAATGCTACTAGAAAAAGAAAACTCCTTGGTCACCATTAGAGATTGCTAGGGTACTGATTCATTGCTCTGAATTTTGTTAAATGGTAGGAAATATCAAACATTTGTTTTACATCTCCTAAATGAACAGTATATTCAAGATAAATAAAGGAAGTTAATAAATGCAGAAAATGATAAAATTAAAAAACAAATATTTTGAAACCCTTTATGATTCTAGGCAAGAATCATCAGTAAATACTAAAGCCATTAGAGGAAAAGTTGATGGGGAACTTTATAATGGAGTGATGTGACCAACAACATCTGAATCTACTTACCAATATTTACATCACATTAGATTACGTGCCTCATATTGTGATTATAAGAAGTTTGCCATACTACTGTGACGTATTTTTGCCTCTTCTCAAAAAAACAAAGCAACAACAACAAAATTGAATCTAACCAGACCTCTAGATCTCACCACAGGGGATAGAGAAACAAGTTAAATGATACCACAAGGAAGCAGTCAGTCAAATCCAGAATGTAGTATGTTCTCCAAGAGAAGTGACTTGGTTTCTTCACAGATATATGTTATGAAAGAAAATGAGGAAAACAAGAACTACTGTAGATTAAAAACAGAAACATAGCAATCAAATACAAGCATGAAAGAAACATATTGACCAAATACAATGTGTGAACCTTGTTTGGGTCTTGATTTTAACTGTACAAGGATATTTTTGAGGATTCGAGGAAATTTGCAGATGACTGAAATATTAATAAATTTTTGCCAATCTTGTTAGGCATAATAATAGCATTGAGATTATATTAAAAAAAATTTTTCACTGTCTGATAGATACATACACTAAAGTATTTATTCCTAGGTGAAATAAGGAATTGTCTAGGATTTGCTCTGGCCACCCTCTCCTGTATAAAAATATGGGGGACAGAGAGAATCATTTAAACAAGATTGACAAAATATTGAGATTTGTTGAAGTTTGATGATGGGTAGATGAGGGGTAGTCATTAGATTACTTTATGCATGTGCATGTTTTAACATTTCTATAGTAAAAAAGTGCAGCCCTTGTGATGCAGTGGGTAAAACTCTTGGCTGCCAACCAAAAGGTCACTGGTTCCAACCCACTGGCTGCTTCTCAGGAGAAAGATGTGGCAGTCTGCTTCTGTCAAGATTTGTAGCCTTGGAAACCCTATGGGGCAGTTTTACTCTGTCCTGTAGGGTTGCTGTGAGTTGGGAGTCGGAATCAACTTGACGGCAATAGGTTATAGTAAAAAGTTTTAAAAAAAGAAGATTATCTGCTTCAACACCTTCCATATATCTATAAGAGAAGTCTTCCCTTAGAATATATATAGTGTACTTATACAATTAGATACAGTTCTAACAAGTTTGGTTTGAGTACCAATTTTTTGGGAGAAAACTGACTAAGCTGTAGACAGGTATCCTTATAGAAATGAAAAGATTTAACTGGTAACATGCTATAACCATCAAAACTCTTAAACATGGACAAAAGCTATAAAAAGCACAACATTCGGGGCAGTGTAGTAAGGCCAAATAGACCTACTCTTCCTCAACCTTATTTCCCACTAGATGGCATTCCCTAAAGGATATATCCATCACAGAGCCCAGAACTTGGACAAGACTGGTGAGCAAGGCTTCTCTGGTGACTCCTTATTGATGTTCTTCTCAAGGGTTCTAGTGTCATTCAAAGCAGTCCCCTAAGGGGGACTGTCTTTGTTCGAAGAATTTATGAAATGTATTCCCTGTGGTCTAACGCCATTAATCCTGGTTCCATTATGCATTGTGAATTTTTTTGTTTTCCTTGTCATGATTTTTTTTTCTATTTTTCTTTGATGTTTGCCCATTTTAATCCATGTTCATTTCTCCCTCTGTGCGTGTGTCTCGCTTGCTGTCTTTGCCTCCATTGTTCCTAGGTTACAGTATAGCCAGGATGTACCCAGTCACTTGGTCGATGAGCATGCGCTGATAGCCTTCTATGTGGCCCGTCTGCAGCACTGTGCACGGTTAGTGGTAGAGCAGTAGCAGTAGGTGGAGAACTAAGGGTTACCTGGGGTTGCCAGCTGGAAAAGCTCCGCATTTGGGGTTTTTCTTGAGAAGCTACCAGCTGTGTTTGGCAGAGTTTAAGTACTTACTTAAGTATTAGCTTCTAAAAAGGAAGGAGTTTTGCCAAGCCTGGGTACTTACCTAAACATAGGCAGTATTTCCCCTTTAAAGTGAGGTCACTTTCTTCAGATTACACTTAAACAGTATATAAACCTCTGAGAGATCTGAAATCCCAAAGATATAACATTCACAGAGGTGTTTGATGCAACCTCTAACTGTTCATTCTTGCCTAAATAATGAGATCTTTCTAATGATATTCAAAGTTTAGTGTTGATCAACCCACAAATATCTCACTCTGTCTAATCTGAAGGCTTTGATACTCCCCTGTTACATCTCTGCCATCCTTCATCTGTTCCCAGAAATCTATCATAGTTGATTATTTAAACCAATAGTTTTCAACAGTGGTATTGAATCAGTATCACAAGAAGGGCTTTTTCTAAACTATGTATAAACCAAAAAACTAAACCCATTGCCATCAAGTCTATAGTGACCCTATAGGACAGAGTAAAACTGCCCCATAGGGTTTCCAAGGAGTGGCTGGTGGATTTGAACTGCCAGTCTTTTTGTTAGCAGCCATAGCTCTTAACCACTGTGCCACCAGGGCTCCAAACTATATATGCTGCCTCATGTTAAAATAATTACATATAAGAGTCCCGCATACCTGTTTCCCTGAAAACCACTGAGGTATTGACTCACTGTTAACATGGGAATATGACTGATCCCTCTGTGGGTTGGGATGGAAAAATATTTGATAATCACTAACTATACCAAAGTTAACCCCTTAAAAGAATTAATAGCAAACAAAATGCTATTCCATTCAGGTAGACCCAAAGTCGCTTGTCTACTCCATACCCACACCTACCACATTCATCAAGAATGACAGATAAAGTTTTAATAATCTAAAGCCATCTGTCTTCTCTAGATAGCAGCAAATTACAGTCATGATGTCAAACAACTTGTAAAACTCTGAGAGCCCTAATTCTTAAAGAGAAAACCATAATTAATAAACTAAATACATAACAGAGGCTGGAGCCTTAAATTTTCATCTTAATTTTGTCACATAGCATGCCATGGCTCCTTGGGAAGGTCATTTGACCTCACTCCTATTCCCTGTGGTAACAGAAAAATAAGTTAATAATTAATGTGAAAAGGGCTATTTTTAATATTATACTTCATAGTGTAGGGTTCTTCCTACCTCCCATGTATGTTTGATAGGCTTATCCTATGGGAAGGAAGGAAGAGCCTGCTAATTGTGTGTTGTATCACAGAGAGTATCTCTAAGTCCAGTAGATAACTTTGACCCAGCCTCTTGGTCTCTAGGAATAGAATAGTTTCACCTCTGGCAGGGCAGATTACCTATAATCAGTAAGGGCAATTGTCCAGAGTGATTAAAATCTTCCATGGTAAAAATAGCATAATGTTGGCTACAGACCTGCAACCTAATATTTGCAGCCCAAGAAGGTTTGTGGTAGGTTTAGCCAAAGTCTTCAAATCTCATGGAAACTGGGAAATCTTAAGGACTAGACTCTCTGAGCAAGAAATGGTGGCTAGTAGCCCTGGGAGAACACAAGCATTGGGTGAGTACTGCATTTCTTCTTTATTTATGGAGTCTGAGGAACTGAGCTTCAATACTTCCTGTAAGCATCAGAATTTCCTGGCTGACTAATTCTGAAAATGAAAACTCAAGCAGAAGAATAAAGAACTTTTCTAGTTTCCCTCAAATAATTTTCATTGACCTTAAAACCTCTCAACAACATAAGGTTCTAGTTTCTGTCTAGAAAGCTTAGCCAATTAAAATGGGGTAAATAGATTAACCCTCCCAAAGAGATTGAATGCGATAGAGAAAAAGAAGTTCTTTTGTATCCCTGGCCAAATAACAAAGGCCATCCACTTTAGGACACACTTCTTAGGCTGCCAATCCTTCCTCCACAATATTATCTACTTGTACTGTTAAACATTGGGTTTTATTTTTCTGTTTCCATACATAGCTACATTTTGTTGTTGTTCTTAAAAAGATAAGAATAATTTTCTTATTTCAGATAAACACCCTTAAGGCACAAATATTATATATTTCAGCCCTAACCCTGGGGACTTGACCCTGAGGTGTTAAAGTCAACTGGTGGTAGCATGTTCTAATTACCAAGATCATCTTTTAAGAAGACAGTTATACATGCCAGATACTGGCATTTGCACATCTAAAATTAAAAAATGTTGACAAATATCATAGGCCAAAGACTTAAAATACATTTTTTTAAAAAAAGAAGATCCAACCTAGAGGAAAGACCAAGTTAAGCCTAAAGATTTAGCCACATAGATGGTAACACCGAGAAAGGTAAAACAAAATCTAGGAAAAAATACAGACAATTCTGTACATAAAAAGGTCAGAGAGGTCTTTATTGATTTAACCTCACCCTTCTCAGATTCTCCCCCATTAAGTACAACAAGATTTGGTGAATGATGAACTCACATCTTTAAAATTTTATGTATCACTTTGTTATACTGCTAAATTCCAACCAAGGGTTTTTGAGTGCTGATACTCTTGTTCAAAAGTGATAAAGTAAACTAATTCACTCTAAGATGGGGATATAGTTGTAGAATAACCACTGTAAAAGAAGAGAAAGAGGCATTGAAAGAGAATTTTGATACTATGGACTCTTCCCCAGTTTTACATTATGTTAAGCCTACCCTGGCAAGGGTTCTTCACTTTTGCTCAGCTAATGTTAAGTGTATTTTTCCTCAGTTGTCTGTTTTACATGGTGCTTTAGTTTTCTCTTGGTCTTTTTGAATTCAGACCTAGGTCCAAAAGTCATGAATTTTTCAAAACGTTTGGTTAGAAATTCTTGTCTCAGACTTTCTGAGTATCCTGCCTTTTCTCAGCCCTTGGCATTCAAAAAGAAGTGCCCCTCTGCTGGTGTCGGAACAGCGAGGATGTACGGCTGAAGAAGAATGACATGAATTGTCTTACCTCTCTCTAACCCCCCTTTTGTCTCAGAAGACCACTAATGTCTACAGCCAAACCTCCATTTCTTTTGTTACCATTCCTTTTTTTAAGTTTTTTCCCCCACCTATTCTAAGAGTGGAACAAGAGGACGGATGTTTAATAGATGCCTGTTGGGTTTTTATCTCCTTGGCAGTGTCCTGGACAGTCCTAGCCAACTGGATGAGGAACACCGGCTTATTGCTCGCTATGCTGCCCGGCTGGCTGCAGAGGCAGGAAACATGGTGAGTAAATAGAGCATCCCTGCAGTCTCTGGCATGTATAACTGTCCCCTTAAAAGATGATGTTGGTAATTAGAACATGCTACCCACCAGTTGACTTTAACACCTTAGGGTCAAGTCCCCAAGGTTAGGGCTGAACTATATAATATTTGTGCCTTAAGGGTGTTTATATGAAATAAGAAAATTATTCTTATCTTTTAAAAACAACAACAAAATGTAGCTATGTATGGAAACAGAAATTAGCGTTACTTTAATATACAAATGGTAGGGCAAAGACAAACATGAAACTCAGGACAGTGAATACCTCTGGAAGGGAAGGAGAGTAGGTTTAGGGAGGGGATTCCGGGGTCTTTTAATTATATCTGTAATGTTCTATTTCTTTAAAAAAATGAATCAAGAAGAGAAAATCAACAAAGCCAGAACTTGGCCCTCTAGAAAATCAATAAAATTGAGATATCCATAGTAAGACTGATCAAGTAAAAAGAGCAAAAACACAAATTGCCAATATCAGGAATGAAAGAGAGAACATCTTTGTAGATTCTAGACATTTTAAGGATGATAAGAGAATTTATGAACAACTTTATGCCTATAAATTTGATGACTTAGATAAGATAGACAAATTCCTTGAAAGACACAAATTACCGAAACTAACAAAATGATAAATAGAAAATCTGAAAGTCCTATATCTGTTGTAAAAATTAAATTCATAATTAACTTCCCACAAAGAAAATTCCAAACCCAGACAGCCTAACTGGTAAATACTGTCACATACTTAAGGAAGAAATGATATAAATCCTACACAAACTCTTTCAGAAAATAGAGGAAGAAGGAACATTTTCCAACTCATTTTATAAGGCCACTGTGACCCAATACCAAAACCAGACAAGGGCATTACAAGAAAAGAAAATTACTGACCAGTATCTTTCGTGAACATAGATGCAAAAATCCTTAATGAAATATTAGCAAATAGAATCCAGCAACATGTAAAAAGGGAAAATACTTCATAATCAAGTGAGGTTTATCCTAGGAATTCAGTTATTTAATACGTAAAAACCAACCAATGTGATTCACCATATTAACAGATTAAAGGAGAAATTTACAGCATCAGTTCAGTAGGTGAAGAAAAAGCATTTGACAAAATACAGCACCAACTTATGATTAAAAATTCTCAACATACTAGGAGTAGAAGGAAACGTCCTCAATCTGATTTTACAATCCAAACAAAAAAACCTACAGCTAGTATTACTTTAAGGTGAAATAGTGGAACGTTTTTTCCCTAATATTGGGAACAGACAAAGACGTCCACATTTACCACCTTTATTCAAAATTGTACTGGTGATCCTAGCCAGTGCAACATGACAAAGGAAAAAGGGTATAAATATTGGAAAGGAAGAATTAAAACTGTCTTTACTTACAGGTGACATGATTGTATATAAAAGGTACTAAAACCAAAACCAAACCCATTGCCGTTGAGTAGATTCCAACTTATAGTGAAGTGCTCCATAGGGTTTCCAAGACTGTAAATTTTTATGGAAGCAGGCTACCATATCTTTCTTCTGCAGAGTGGCTGGTGGGTTTGAACTGCCAACCTTTCCATTAGTAGCTGAGCTCTTAAACAGTGCGCCACCAGGGCTCCTTATAAAAAGTGCTAAGGAATCTACAAAAACATTACTAAAACAGATAAGTGAATTTAGCAGTGTCATAAGATATAAAGACAATATACAAAAATCTATTGTATTTCTATGTACTGGCAATGAACAATTAGAAAATAAAATTTAAGGAAAATATCACTTACTATAGCATTAAGAAAATCAAATACTTATGGATAAATTCAGTGAAAGATGTTCAAGACTGAAAACTATAAAACATTGCTGAGAGAAATTAAAGAAAACCTAAATAAATGGAGAGGTAATCCGTATTCATGAACTGAAAGGTCAGTATTTGGTCAAGATGGCAAATTTCCTCACATTGATCTATAGATTAAATACCAATTAAAATCCCAACAGTTTTTTTTGTAGAGATTGGCAAACTGATTTTAAAATGCATTTGGAAAAAATCAAAGAATAACCTACAAAAACCAAAATGATCTTGAAAAAGAACAAAGTTCATGGCAGTTCTGTTCATAATAGCAAAAAACTAGAAACAGCCCAGATATATATCAACATGAAAATGAATAAACAAAATGTGGTATATTCATACAATGGAATAGTACTCAGAACAAAAAGAATGAACTACTGATGCATGCAATAACATGGATGAATCTCAAAAATATTATGAGTAAAAGAAGACGGGCACAAAAAAGTACATACTGCTTGATTCCATTTATATGAAATTTTAGAATAGGCAAAACTAACTTATGTTAATAGAAATCAGATTGGGGTTGTTTCTGAGGGTGGGGATATTGAAAGCAGATAAGGAAACTTTCTGGATTGATGGAAACGTTCTGCATTTTAATAGGTGTGTGGGTTATATGCATTTGTCAAAATTGATTGAATGGTACACTTAAGATCTGAACTCTATGAAAATTATAGTTCAATTAAAAGAAGAAGGAACCAAGGTTGGTAAAAAATGTAAGAGTTGATTGAAAGAGGAAGTGGCTACTAAGAGATTCACCGTGTATTTCTTGTAATTTGTAAATATAGTCATGCGTCGCTTAATGGCCACGATACATTCTGTGAAATAGGATGTTGTGTGATTTGAACATTGTGTGAACACCGTACTATACACAGGCAGTCCCCGGATTACAAATGAGTTCCGTTCCTAAGTCTGTCTTCAAGTCAATTTTGTACAGAAGTCCGAACAGTTAGGTATAGTTCATAGCTAACGCCAGTTAGTCAAATGTTTGTCTTAGTATATAGTATATACTATATATGCATTAAAAATATTAAAGAAACACTTCCAGATACATTAAAACGTCTTTAACATAATAATACAGTAATAGTATTGATAATGTTTTGATGTGCATCGCAAAATAACACCCATTTATTTTTACAAACCATTGTAGGTATCTCAGATTTTTAATATAATAGGCTTTATGGGGTTGTTTTGTAACTATGAGTTGTATGAAAGTCAGACGTTCGTAACCCAGGAACCTCGGACACATTTGTGGTCTGATGTTGCCCAAATGGACGTTATGTGGCACATGACTGTAATTTATAATAAGTTTCCTCTTTTCCTTCTCCCTTTTCAACCCTTTACTTTTTTTGAGGAGATATATGCATGTTCTTATTCATCCTCCTCCCTCCACACACACACACACAGGTTGGATACTACGGTGGACAGAAGATTTCTGCCCTCATGGAACTAACAGTGTAGTTGGAGAGACAAACATTTAACAAATTAAACATATTAAACATATAACTACACTAGATGGTGCCCAGCTACCACCAATGACCACCCTGACAGGGAACACAACAGGGAGTCCCTGATGGAGCAGGAGAAAAGTGGGGTGCAGAACTCAAATTCTAGTAAAAAGACCAGACTT